GGCACGGGTAGGAGCACAGCCTACGCGCCGGCGGTGCAAGGGCGCTTCACCGCCTCCAGGGACAACTCCCAGAGCACGGTCACGCTGCAGATGAACAGCCGCAGGGCCGACGACACGGCCACCTACTACTGCGCGAAAGGTGCTGGTGGTGGTGGTTGCACCGACCCCGGCACCGTGTCGCCGAATCCCAGCCCCTTTGCGAAATCCTTGCCCAAAATCCCAGGTTTCGTAACACATCCGGACTGTTGCACCAAGCACAAAATACTTTATTGAGCCCAAATCGCTGGCTTTTGGCCCAAACCCCCCGCCCTGCGCCTCCTCTGCAAGGGCTCTGGCTTCATCTCCATCACCTCCAGCATGGTCTCAGTGTGAGAAGGCACCCACAACCTTCCCAAAATCCCTGCTCCAAGCACAGACCCCTGCCTTGAGCCCATACATCCACACCCTGCATCCCCAAATCCCAACTTCCTCCCAAAATCCTTGCACCAAGCATCAGCATCCCTGCCCGGTGCCCAGACAGCCCTGTCCTGCATCCCAAAATTCTGTTATCTTCCCCAAATCCTTGCACCAAGCATCAGCATCCCTGCCCTGCATCCCCAAAATCCAGCATCTTCCCCAAATCTCATTATCTTCCCAAAATCCTTGCTCCGAGCCCAGATATCCCAGCCCTGCAGCCCAAAATCCCAAAATCTTCCCCAAATTCCAGCATCTTCCCCAAACCCTTGCTCCAAGCCCAGATATCCCAGCCCTGCAGCCCAAAATCCCAGCACTTTCCCAAAATTCCAGCATCTTCCCCCAAATCCTTGCTCAGGATTAATTAATCAGGGTAAATAAATGATAAGGGGTCTGCAAGGCCTGCAATTAAATAATTCAGTGCAAATAAATGATAAGGGCTCTGCAGGGCTGGCAATTAAATTAATCAGGGTAAATAAATGATAAGGGCTTCTGCAGGGACTGCCATTAAATTAATCAAAGTAAATAAATGATAAGGGCTCTGCAGGGCTTGCAATTAAATAATTCAGTGCAAATAAATGATAAGGGCTCTGCAGGGCTGGCAATTAAATTAATCAGGGTAAATAAATGATAAGGGCTTCTGCAGGGACTGCCATTAAATTAATCAAAGTAAATAAATGATAAGGGCTCTGCAGGGCTTGCAATTAAATAATTCAGTGCAAATAAATGATAAGGGCTCTGCAGAGATTGAAATTAAATTAATCAAGGTAAATAAATGATAAGGACTCTGCAGAGACTGCAATTAAATAATTCAATGCAAATAAATGATAAGGGCTCTGCAAGGACTGCAATTAAATTAATCAGGGTAAATAAATGATAAGGGCTCTGCAGGGCTGGCAATTAAATTAATCAGGGTAAATAAATGATAAGGGGTCTGCAGAGACTGTAATTAAATAATTCAGTGTAAATAAATTATAAGGGCTCTGCAGGGCTTGCAATTAAATAATTCAGTGCAAATAAATGATAAGGGCTCTGCAGGGCTTGCAATTAAATAATTCAGTGCAAATAAATGATAAGGGCTCTGCAGGGCTTGCAATTAAATAATTCAGTGCAAATAAATGATAAGGGCTCTGCAGGGCTTGCAATTAAATAATTCAGTGCAAATAAATGATAAGGGCTCTGCAGGGCTGGCAATTAAATTAATCAGGGTAAAATGATAAGGGCTCTGCAGGGTTTGCAATTAAATAATTCAGGGTAATTCGGCAGCAGGGTGCACTGTGGAGCTTGCAATGAAATAATTCAGCATTGAAAAAGCCATCAGGGTGCGCTGCAGGGATTGCAATTAAATAATTCAGTATTAAAAAGTAATCAGGGCGCGTTGCAGGGATTACAATTAAATAAATCAGTATTAAAAAGAAATCAGGGTGCACAGCAGGGATTACAATTAAATAATTCAGTATTAAAAAGATATCGGGGCGCACTGCAGGGATTACAATGAAATAATTCGGTGTACATCTGTGATGAATTCCCTAGAAACATCTCAGTGAAATAATTCAGTATTAAAAAGAAATCAGGGTGCACTGTGGAGCTTGCAAATAAATAATTTGGTATTAAAAAGAAATCAGGGTGCACTGCAGGGATTGCAATTAAATAATTCGGTATTAAAAAGTAATCAGGGTGCACTGCAGGGATTGCAATTAAATAATTCGGTATTGAAAAGAAATCGGAGTGTGCTGCAGGGATTGCAAATAAATAATTCGGTATTAAAAAGATACCAGGGTGCACGGCAGGGATTACAATTAAATAATTCAGTGTACATCTATGATGAATTCCCTAGAAACATCGCAGGGAAATAATTCAGTATTAAAAAGATATCGGGGCGCACTGCGGAGCTTGCAAATAAATAATTTGATATTAAAAAGAAATCAGGGTGCAGTGCAGGGATTACAATTAAATAATTCGGTATTAAAAAGATATCGGGGTGCAGTGCAGGGATTGCAATTAAATAATTCAGTATTAAAAAAGGTATCGGGGCGCACTGTGGAGCTTGTAAACAAATAATTCAGTATTAAAAAGATATCAGAGTGCGCTGCAGGGATTGCAATTAAATAATTCAGTATTAAAAAGATACCAGGGTGCACGGCAGGGATTACAATTAAATAATTCAATATTAAAAAGATATCGGGGTGCACTGCAGGGATTACAATGAAATAATTCGGTGTACATCTGTGCTGAATTCCCTAGAAACATCTCAGTGAAATAATTCAGTATTAAAAAGATATCAGGGAGCACTGCAGAGCTTGCAATTAAATAATTCAGTATTAAAAAGAAATCAGGGTGCACTGCGGAGCTTGCAAATAAATAATTCAGTATTAAAAAGATATCAGAGTGCGCTGCAGGGATTGCAATTAAATAATTCAGTATTAAAAAGAAATCAGGGTGCACTGCGGAGCTTGCAAATAAATAATTCAGTATTAAAAAGATATCAGAGTGCGCTGCAGGGATTGCAATTAAATAATTCAGTATTAAAAAGAAATCAGGGTGCACTGCGGAGCTTGCAAATAAATAATTCAGTATTAAAAAGATATCAGAGTGCGCTGCAGGGATTGCAATTAAATAATTCAGTATTAAAAAGTAATCAGGGTGCACTGCGGGGATTGCAATTAAATAATTCAGTGTAAATAAGATCTCAGGGGGCACCGTGGGGATTACAATTAAATAATTTGGTATCAAAAAGATCTCAGGGCACACTGCAGGGATTGCAATTAAATAATTGGGTGCACATAGGTGATGAGGTCCCGAGAGACATTGCAATTAAATAATTCTGTGTGCACAGGCGATGAGCTCCCGAGAGACGCTGCGATTAAACAACTCGGGGTACACCTGTGATTAAGTCCTTAGGGACCCGGCAATTAAATAATATTTTGCGTACACCTGCGATTAATTCCCTAGAGACGCGGCAATTAAATAATTCTGTGTACGGCTCTGACGAATTCCCTAGAGACGCGGCAATTAAATAATTCTGTGTACGGCTCTGACGAATTCCCTAGAGACGCGGCAATTAAATAATTCTGTGTACGGCTCTGACGAATTCCCTAGAGACGCGGCAATTAAATAATTCTGTGTACGGCTCTGACGAATTCCCTAGAGACGCGGCAATTAAATAATTCTGTGTACGGCTCTGACGAATTCCCTAGAGACAAAGCCCTAGAGAAGCGGCAATTAAATAATTCGGCGCGCACCTGCGATGAACCCCCTCGAGACCTCGCGATAAAATAATCCAGCGTAAACAAGCGCGCTGAGTGCCCAACAGAGCTTGCAATTAAAGAATTCAAAGCCACGCCACTAACGAGCACCCGGCTGAGATTTGCAATTAAAACAGCAGGTGGGCCGGAGGGGTGGGGGTGGACCCTTCCCATGCAAATCCCCGGCACCCAGGGCCTTTAAAAACCCCCGAGCCAACAATGGTGGCACATCCCTCGGCTCCCCCACCCACCACCATGTGCTTCCACTTGGCCACC